ATGTGATAAAATATAATATATTATTAAAAAAATAATTGATTATTATTTATTTATCAAAAACCAAAACCAAACTAATTTTAAACTGATTTATTAATAACCAAACCAATCAATTTTTGATAATTTTGATTCGGTTTCGATTCTCAAAATTAGAAACAAAAATTTTCGGTTATTTTAAAACTGGTTTTGCCCACCCCTAATCACTTAGCAAATGACTTGGACAAAATTTATTGTCGCAACGTACTTAAATGCTTGTTTAATTACATGTAATTATCATTACAACATGACAATTTAATTAAATTATTAAATTGGAAAAAGGGGAAAGCAGGTCCACTTTAATAAAACGGAAAGCAGGTCCACTTTAATAAACGGCGCCGTTTAGACAATAAAGGGAAAATTTAATCCGTCGGTTACCCTTTTTCATTGAGGCATTCCGTCTAGCCGGAGCAACAGCTTTGGCAATCAATGGATTCAATGCCGTGTTCAGTTTGACGGTTATGGTGCTGCTCATGACGGCTGCCGCTGCTGCAAACGAATACACTAACCACACCGTTGGCGGCGATACCGGCTGGTTCTTCGATCCCGTCACCGACACCTCTGTTAGTAAATTACACTTCTTGGGCCGCAAATCAAACCTTCAATCTCAGAGACTATCTCAGTGATGCTCAACACCTTTTTCTATTTCATATCTCCTCTTGTTGAAAATGTTCAGTTTTGACAGTGAATTTTAGATCAAATCATCGTTTGGTTACAATGGAACAGAGGAAATTTTGCAGGAAATAATGGAAATCTAAACTTGAAATCTGATTTTGTTGAAATGAATTAGAATAAGTTCTTATTACGCTATCTCGTTTGAAATCGCAGATTCGAATAATTTCCCTTTGTTTTCTAATTGGGGAAAGGGAAAAGCAGGTCGACCTGCAAAAAAAATAGTTGCAGCCTCCGGCGAAGACGATGGAGCTCTGGCAAGATAACTCTGCAGCGATGGGGTTTCGGTAAGAGGACAAGGGGCTTCTGATGAGGTTGCAGAAGAGGAAACGAACGATTAAATTTACCCTTTATTGTCTAAACGGCGAAGACGATGTAGCTCAGGCAATTTTTTCTGCAGGTCGACCTGCTTTTCCCTTTCCCTTATTAAATTATAATTATAAAGAAATGACCTAAAATCATCATCTTGTTCCCCAATCCCTATCCTCTTTTTCTCCGGTGACGAGCCAGATCATCATTCTCTAATGTTAAAATATCAATTTGCTCCCTCAACTTTCAAATTTATACTATAATTATCTTTAAACTTCAAAAAATACCAAAATTATTCTTAAACTTTAATTTTTGATGCAAAATAGTCCTTTTGTTAATGAAAGTATTATATGACTCGTTATTTTCTCATAAATTTAGTTATTTTTTAAAATATTAATAATGTTTAAAATCAAATGATCATTTTATCGTTGTAATATATTTTTATTTACATATTAGATTAAGATATAATCAAAATTAAAAGACTAAATTAATACTTATAATCAAAGTTCAAGAACTAATTTAGAACTTGTTTTCAATGTTTAAGGGCTAAATTAGTACTATTTTGGTACCAAAAATTAAAAGTTCAAAGACAATTTTAATATTTTTTGAAATTTGAGGACAATTTCAACACAAATTTAAACATTTAGGGATCAAATTGGTATTTTAACCATTCTCCAACCAGTAGCTAACACCTTGTACTAGAGGTGTTCATATCTGATATAATCTGATGGATCCGACCTAAACTGATCCAATCCAATAAAAACTGATCTAAACCAATATAAAATTGGGTTGATTTGAATTATAAAATTTTAAAACCGATATAATTGGTTTGATTTGTGATTTTACTTTCAAACCATCCGAACTGCCCGATTACAAAATAAAATCTGATTACAAGATAACTTAATTAAATAATATAATAATTTTTTGTAGTATTTTAAAATTTCTTTTTCTTATTTTATAAGATAATAACTCTATTAACTTAATTAAAAAATAAAAATATAATATCTCCATATTCCTTAAGTTATTTTTCCATTTTAATCATGTACTTTAATCCTAATTCTAAATTCCTAATTCACCCGTAACTCTATCCTATCATAATTGCTTTGCGCCTTTATTCTTAAAATCCTAAATTTCTAATTTATTCCTAAAATAATATTATGATTCTCCTAAGTTTTAAAAAATTATCATTCTAAAAGTCTTAAAACTATATAATAAAACTAATCTTAATATTCTACTATTGTTAGATATTTAGTTTACAAATTTTAAATTTTGATTAGGAATGCTTCTAATCAATTTTAGTGATATTCATGTTAAATTTTATTCACTTATAATAGAATTTATAAGATGAGATTAAATTATTAGTGCATTAAAAAAAAACTAATTTTAACCTTTAAGAATTATTTACGCTATACTAGAAATTTGAAGTCATCTTTTGTTGTTCTTGATACCTCTAGTGATGTAACTAAGAAAATTTTTTGGATCTTTTCAATTTTAACAAATGTGAAGGAGTATAAGAACTTGTTTATAATTTATGCCTTTTATTATGTTTTACTTATTTGGATGTTAATGTGTTTTATAGTTATATTTTTTATTTGATTTTAAAATATTTTTATATTATCTTATATATTTAATAATGTTAAAAATTGATCAATTCGACCGAACCACACCGATCCGATTTAAGCTAGATTTGTTTGGTTATCATATAATAGTGGATTGGATTGATTTAAAATTTTATTAACCAATTAAATTGGATTGATTTAAGAAATATTAAAATTTGAACCAAACTACACCGCGAACACCCCTATCTTGTACCATCTCTCCTCCACTACCCCTTTGAAACCATCGATCCTCAATTTACAATTTTTGGGTTTCATGAGGTTAAAATTAATGCTGCATCAGGCATTTGCTTTACAATTTCTTCAATTACTCTCAAGAATTTTTTAGAAACATTTTTTCTTTGATGAAATTTCTCTCAAAAATTCATGGATATGAGAACTGAGTTTTTTAGATTGTGTTGAATATTCATTATTCATATTCATTAATTGATTGGTTTGTCTCATGTGGTTGAACTAAGTTTTGTATTTCTGGGTTTCTTCTTGATGAAATCGGTGAGAACCCAAATGACAAACAACCTAGAAAATGAATTCCTGTTCCTTCTTTGTTTTATTATATTTTTTTATGGTATTCAAAAACATCAGAGGAAGGGAAAAAATAATCAGAGGAACAGAAAGAAAAAAAAAAGAAAAAAGAAAAAAGAAAAAGGAGAGCGGCGAAACAGACACCCAAATCTGGTTTCTCGTGAGAGGCACTACAAGAAAACCGAGCTTCACCGACTAATTATCACCGAGGTAAGAAGATTTCTCGGTGAAGTATCAATTTACCGACAAGAATCATGTCTGCAACTTGAGAAATAGTGCAAACGCGAGTAAGATATATTATTTACTATGCAGACGTAACACTTGTCGGTAATTTAAGAAAATACATACGTGCCATTCGTCGGTAAATGCAGTATCCACTCCAGCCGGTCGGGCAAGGACGGAGACTCATATCACCGACGAGGAGAACGCCTGTAAGTTCAAATTTGAAACGAGGATCTCGTCGGTAATTTGGGATCAATTTCCAACGTTCTCCTTCTCGGTAATTGCCACTCCCAATGCAACCCCCGTCAACCAGCTGGCC